ACTTTGAATTTTCTATTATGCACAACAAGCAAAGCAGTGGAGGATTTTAAGAGGGAGGATGAAATGATATGACACCTATTTTGAAAACACTGTTCTTTCTTGCCACATGTGGTAGCATCCCAGCACACAGTAGTGTGAGGCAGAAGGATCACTTCAAGTTCAAGGCCAGCCTGGGCTACATAGTGAGTTCAAGGCCATCCGAACCACATAGTAAGACCTTGTCTCAACCAAAAAGAAAAAAAAAAAATTATTCTTTCCAAAGTGGAAAGAGGAATAGAGAAAGAAGGAGGCAAAACTACTGTGCTACCCTGATAGGTAGGGTGGAAGGTAACCTGGATGAGCAGGGACAAAGAGATGGAGGCAACAGGCAATGAGAGCAGAGCCACACTACCCGAACTGAGACAGGAGATTAGGGCGTGGCAAAAGCTGGCTGGAGAGGTTGGCTTGCTGTGTTAACTACAAGATCCCTCATACACGCACAGAACAGTTCCCAAAGCCCTGCACACAGACTTCTGGCAAGAACTGGAGTAGGTTCTTCAATAGGATGGCCTAGACCTGGCCTCAGGCCAAGGCGTGGGATGCAAACACTGCCTCTTAGGACCTGGATATAGAAGTTCATGTGGGTTTCTTCAAGATTTAGATAGCATAAAATTGAAGAGTTTGCTATGGTAGCTTTCCACAATATCCCACGCCATGTTTCCCAGATGCAGCGTGTACTTTTTATCTCTGCTCACCCTCTTTTTCTACTTACTTAGTCCAAGTTCACTCTGTAGAGCCAGTTTCTCTCCCACTTTTCACGTTTACTTTCTCAAATAAACTGTGCTACTGCTTTTTGCTCATTTCATTCAATGTTTTGTTCAAGATGAAAAGAACTTGGAACCTAACCCCAAAAGGAGAGGCGAGCAACCCTAAACTGGCTGATGTTTAGTTGGCAAGCCATTTTTTAGACACAAGCTACCTGAGCAAAGAATTTTTGGTGGATTGGTCTGGGGAGTGAGAGAGAAGGAAAGATCCAGGATGATTTCTGGGTTTCCAGCATGAACATCTAGAGATAGCAGTGGAATTAACCAAAATGGGAACTACTAAGGAACAGAGGTTGGCATACATAACCACAAAGGTGAGGGTGTCCATCCACAATTCCCTGAATGCTACTCCCTGGGTATGACGAGGCTCCTATAGCCTTTCAGATTAAGTTCTTACACAGAAACTCTTTGGCCTTCAAGGTTTATGTCATCAAACATTAAGCTAATGGACTGCAAGCAGCAAACTGGAAAACTGTAAGTGGCAGCTCAAAGTTTGGCCCAATCCTGCCCTCATCTTACTCAAAATATGCTGACTGAAAAGAAGTTGTTTTGTTTTTCTTTTTTCCTTTTTTTCTTTAAAAACTATCCATGATCTCTGCAGACTGTAAAATATAACGTAAAAAGAATAACAATTTTAATTTCCACCAAATCAAAAAGTTGTAAAGTCTCAAGAAAATTCACCAAATGGGATAATAAAGGGCATATTTTAACATGTTCTTTTTTTTGAGACAGGGTCTCTCTGTATAGTTCAGGTTGGCCTTGAACTCACTATGCAGCCCAGGCTGGTGGTGATCGTCCTATCTCAGCCTCCTGAGTGCTAGGATTACAGATGTGTGCCACCGTGTCCAGATTTTGAAAATAACTTTTATTTAATCTTTAAATGAAGGAAAATAATTAAGAATTAACTCTGGGTGTACTTAAACCCCCACAGGTGAAAGGCAGGATGAGCATTTATTATCTACAAACATGAAAGCCTTATAATTTGTGAAAAGGCGTTCATCCTTTACAGAAGTGGTAACTTTCACAATCCTTCTCCCAGCCCCTGGCAAACTAAATTGTAGATCTCGGCACAAATCAAGTAAAAGACTTAAATCCAATTTATGATATGCAACAAAAGCGTCAGAAGTTTATTCTTGGATTCAACAAAGCAGCTCAAACTTTCCCAGAAGATAATGTTGGAAACTACTGCAATAAAGATTAATGACCATTTACAATGAAATAAAATCCGCCAATGCCTATGATAAATCCAAGTTCAGTGTGATGCACTTTTCAACCATCAAAGCAACTGCTATGTGTTGTAGCAACAATCACCAAGCCACCCAAGGAAACAATGCTCCAACAAGAAACCTACTTCATTTACTGAGGTAAAAAGCTGTCAACTACACTCTCTATTAAGTGAAGCAGAACATTATGAAACAGTATACATGATAGTGCCAATTTTTTATTTTTGAAAATGTGTTAATGTATAGAGATATCAAGAAATGGTCTGGAATGGTCTAGAAATGGTCTAGAATATTCATTTAACTGTTTTAATGTCTCTGGGAGAGGCAAAGCACATTTTTCTTTCTTGTTTTGCTTTGCGTGGGGAAAGAGGGGTAGTGAAGGTTAAACCCAGAGCCTTTATACTGAGCTACATCTCTAGACTTTTGACTTTTTATTTTGAGATAGGGTCTCACTAAATCACTAAACTGTCTAGGCCGGGCTTGAACTTGTGATCACTCTGCCTCACCCTCCCAGATTTCTGGGATTATAAGCATGTGCCACTATGCCTGGCACATTTTTCTTTTTGTTTAAGAATATTTTTTGACTTGTGCTATTATAAAATGTTCCTAAGTGGAGGAAATTAACTATTGCTATAAGTATGTAAGATGATGGCTATGTTAATTAGCTTGATTATAGTAATCATTTCACGATGTATAGGTATGTCCAAACATGATGTTGTATACCTTACACATAAATGACTTCATTTGTAAATTATACTCAATAAAAATTAATTTTTGAGAAACAAAGATGGGCCGGGCATGGTGGCGCACACCTGTAATCCCAGAACTTGGGAGGCTGAGGCAGGAGGAATGTTGTGAGTTTCAGGCCAGCCTGGGCTACAAAGTGAGCTCAAGGCCAGCCTGAACTACACAGTGAGACCCTGTCTCAAAAAGACAAAATAAATAAATAAAAGAAACAAAGATGGCACAATAAATATCCCCCAAAAAAACAAAAAAAAAACAAAAAAAAAACACAAATAAACAGACAAGAAACCTATTTCAGGACTGGGGATGTGGCTTAGTGGTAGAGCACTTGCCTAGCATGTGCAAGGTCCTGGGTTTGATTCTCAGTCTCTCTCACACACACAGACATACACACATACACACACACACACACACACACAGAGTGAAAGAAAAAATGGAAAAAATAAATCTGTTTCAAAGAACCAAATTCTGTCAAGATATGTCATTTGAGTCTAATGTCCTCCAATTTGAAAAATATTCCATGAGTAGAGATTAAAGTCGCACCTTATTAAGAGCAAAGAGGAAAGGGAAAGAAGCTATTCGGCACAGTAATGAAGCTCTACTAACCCTTCATCCTTAGGCAAGTTACTCAACCTCCCTAAATTCAATGACGACATCTGTAAGAAGGGCCCCAGCAGCGGCCCAGTAGGGGCTTGTAGTGCTCAGCCACAACCAGCTCCTCTCTCCTTGTAAGCACATGAGAAAACTGTGTTCCCACAGGCTGCTTTCCAGGGAGGCAGATCCCCATGACAAGCGCTTACCAATGCACCGGGAGCAGCAGTGACATGAGTCACACCCAGGCTACAGAACCCAACTGCCAGGGTGAGGAACCTTCCCCATCGTGGCAACTGTGGGAACAGGTGTTGTACTGGAAGTGCCATAAGGGAAAGCAGTCAGGACCACAGAGTCACCACACCGGGCAGCTGCCCTGCAGGGTCACCCGACCCACTGCAAAGTGAGATGTGAGCTTCCTTCTATTTAGGGCACTGAGACTATGGTGGCATGCGTTACTGCAGCTCGTCCTAAACACTGCAAACTTACACCAGTGCTGTACCTCACTTGGGGGCAGGGTGCTGGGAGCGTTAAATGAGACAGTGCCCAGCGACTACAGGCCCTTGATAAAAGCTGGCTAGGACAGTCTTCTTGGATATTTGGATTGCACCACAGTATTTCTATGCACTAACCGGAAATTCTGAACCTCTATAAATGACTACCAGAATCTTCACAGGACAGGAATGAAGAGCTAAATAACTGCTATCTCCAAATGAGGAAAATAAAAAACTACCTGCACAGAGGAGCTCAGTTCCTTACTACACTCATCACCTTTATAGAGATTTGTGGGGGGAGTGGGGGTACTGGGGACTGAACATAGGGCCTCTGCACTGAGTTATGTCCCCAGCCCCCACCCTTTTTTTCTTCAGGCAGGGTCTTGCTAAGTCCCTAAGCTGCTAAGTAAGTCTGGGCACTTGAACTTGAGGTTCTCCTGCCTCAACCTCACAAAGTGCTGGGATCACATGCACTAGCACGCCTAGCTCGTAGAGATTTTTAAAACTCCTACTGAGGCAGTAGAAATAAGGCTAATAATTAGCTTCACACTCTGTTTAAATTGTGGAAACAGTGCAAGCATACAGTGCACTGGGGATAGGGATGGAACGATAATAAAGTGTTCTATCAGAACTCTGAGAAGATAGATTCATTCTGCCAAAATGTTGGTAGCACCATAGTATGTAATAGTACTTGGAATAGTGCTTCAGGAATTGGGAATTAAAGGATGAGCATATCTGATATGACTGGCAGGAATGTCAGGGAGAGAAAAGGGACAGATCCACTCTATCTCCTGTGACTCCATGACTAATCCAGTAGGGACTCAAGTGGAAAATTAAACTGGATGTTATTATTTTGCCACAGGCTCTAGAATTCCTTCCCCAGTCTCATTCTGCTAAACAGAATACATTTTAACTACAAGTCAGTTGAGAGGAACTAATCTCAGGTCACTCTCTGAATTTTTCTCCATATCAAAAAGAAACAAACTCAGCTACTTGTTAAGTTTTCTTATTTTATTTTACAGAGGAGTTGGAGGAAGTGAGGAGAAATACCACAAAAGCTTAAAGAACAGTCTTAAAATCCATTGAAAACAGTGCATATAAACAAGAAACTGGTTGTTGGCAACATATAAATATGAGGTACTCACCACACTTTATACTCTCTATCCGCACAGGGAGGCCAGACTGCACCGCAGCGATTAATTTCAGGGCAATGTAAAACTGTGTCGGACCGAAATAACCAACCCGCTTTGCACCACACAGTTCTGTGATCTGGAAAGAGACAAGGAAAATAATGGTTTGAAAAAAACCCATTTCATAACAGGAAAATGAGACAAGGTGTATGATGAAACACCAAGGATTTCACAGTGTAGCAAACCAAAAAGTCCCCTGGGAACCTCTGTGTACATACTGGTTGATTTCTTTTTCCTCCAGTTTGTAAGAAAGTTTTTCATTCAAATCGTTTAGTTCTACCTACTCATGATATTCAGAGCTGATTATTCCTCCTCTTTCAAAGATAAAAATAAAGGTGTCAAGGATGGCTGTTACTCTTCTAACAAAGGAGAGTGATTTTTCAGGGGGTGGACTCTAATGTACAAAGTCTAAAAAGTCACTGAGGTAAAAAGGGAAAAGATTAGTCATTACCACTACTTGTGGCTTGTTCTAGTTTACTGAAATTCAAAGTGAATTGGCTTTACAAAGTTCTCAGCAAAATAATTTCCTAATCATGGAAATTACATCTTTGGTGCTCACTTCAGAGGAACAAAAAAGTACTGCACATACAAATGTTTTGAAGACATTGTAATATTGTTGGTTCCTGTCCCATCACCTAGAACTAGAACATCCCTTCCCCGCCTAGTTAGGAACTCAAATATTACTCCACTTTATAGCTCCCTCCCAACCTTCTGGGGATAATATTGGCAGTGCATTCTGAGAGCACTCCATGCAAATGAGTATAAATGCCCATCACATGATACATTGTCTTGGATGTGCTGCAAAATACTGTTAAAGGGAGAAAAGAGTAAGTGGGCATAAAGGTGAAACAAGCTTCACTAAGAGTTAATAATCACTGGAGTTGGGTGATGGGTGGGTGGGGGTTCATTCTCCATATTCGCGCTGTATATCTATCTCAGCACTTAATACATTATAACTATCTGTTTATCTCTGCCTCTTAGTCAGTGTCTTCTCTTCAAGGGCACGGGGAAGCTTCTACACATTTCCTAAAAGATAGGCACACAAAACAGTCAATCATTCCCAGTCATTTGAATGAACTTATACTCAAAAATAAGATGCAATTGAATTTTAATATATCCCTTATCATAAGTGTGGGAAAAATGCCAACAGCATCAGTGCAGTTTCAGTATCAAGAGAATTTTCTTGAAGAACAAGTCCTAAGAAATTGTAATCCTTGGAGCTGGGGATTTAGCTCAGCACCACAGCGCCTGCCTGGAAAGCGCAAGGTCGGGAGTTCGATTCCCGGTACCAGAAAAAAAAACAAAAAAAAAGCAATTGTAATCCTTTGTATGGAAACAATTTAACAACTATATTTCATAAAGCATGAATTTAGTAGTAAATTAATATTCAGTTATTCCTCTACCATAGTGATATAGGAGATAGGGCATGGCAAAGCTGGCTGGGAAAAGGAGCAGTACCTGTCAGTTACAAGGTCCCAGAGCAACACTAGGACCCCATACATAGAACTTCTGGGGCGCTCAGAAGCCCAGGTATTACAGGAAGCCTGCTACCCTAACTTCCCACCATCACCCACGGTGCTTTTCCCAGATGCAGCATATACTTTAATTTTTGCTTTTATTTTCTTTTTCTCTTCTTCTGGCCCAGTTTCCTCTATAAAGCTGGTTTCTCCCACACCCATTCACTCCTCACTTCTCAAATAAACTTTTGACACTGTTTTTGGCTTGTCTCATCCAATTCTTTATCTAAGGCAAGAGGGACCTGGAATACTTTTGATTAGCAAGGCATTTCTAAAGGAACTACTCAATAACAACAGCTATTATATTGAACTGGAAATCTCTATACTATAGGTAAACTAAAATTGACAACAAGTAACTAAAATTGGTAAACCTTATGGTACTTTAAGATTCAAACGCTAATTTGACCTTAATAAACCACCTTACCTACCCTGGATGCTGCCCTTTGGTCCCATACACTATTAGAATGACTGCCTTGTAGCCAAAGTAGAATATACACCTATAAGTGAAATCAGCCCACAGGTCAGTCACTTTTCTGGCTGTTCATATAACAACTCAAGAGACATACCAAGAACTTTCTGAAATACTCAAGCCTCAAGGAAGAGAAAATAATTATAAGCCTTTGGAACTTACACATGAAGCTTCATCAGCCTGGGACTTAATACAAAAGACAGGTTAATTTTATAGGGATTTTTTATTCTTCAAAGTGTTTTAAGTTTAAATTCTCCATTGAAAAGCTCTAAGTGGTGGGTAGAAATATTTTAATGACATTAAAGAAAGAAGGTGGTCTCTTCCCTTTCAACCAGAACTGCCATCTTCCAGTAATTTGCCAAAATGGCAAAGAAAGGGAAGGAGGAGAAAAACCCAGTGTATGTTCTCTAGGTCTTTTAGAAAACATGGGGTTGGCCAGGCATGGTGGCGTACACCTATAATCCCAGCACTCCGGAGGCTGAGGCAAGAGGATCGTTGCAAGTTCAAGACCAGCCTGGGCTTCAAAGTGAGCTCACTGCCAGCCTGAACTGCATAGAGAGACCCTGTCTCAAAAAGACAAAAAAAAAAAAAAAAAAAAAGAAAGAAAACATGGGGCTGCTCCTTTGGTCACATACATGTGAATTTACAAAAAGGATGATACTGTACACATCAAGGGAATGGATACAGTGCAAAAAGGAATGCCACACAAACGTTACCATGGCAAAACTGGAAGAGTTTGCAGCATGCTGTTGGCATTGCTGTAAACAAGCAAATTGAGGACAAGATATTTGCCAAGAGGATTAATGTGCATATTAGCATATTAAAAACTCAAGAAGTTGAGATAACTTCCTGAAATGCGTCAAGGAAAATGATCAGAAAAAGAAGGAAGCCAAAGAGAGGTACCCAGGGTTCAACTGAAGCGCCAGCCTGCCCTGCCCAGAGAAGCACACTTTGTGAGAACCAGTGGGAAGGAGTTTGAGTTGCTGGAACTTTTTCCCTATGAGTTCATGGCATAAACTGGGGGCGGAGCTCTGCCATTCAGCACCTAATTGGAGGCTAATGATCTAAGCCCTACTTAAAAATAAAAAATCATCCTGTGCTGTAAGGATGGTTTTCTTAATTGAACAAGTGTGTGGTGCCTTTACCTCAGAGAAACAAATATTTGGAGCAGATTTTCATTGTACCTGGTTAATTGCGTCAGGTCTTCACTCTTTGGTGTTTTTCTTGCTGAAAGATGTGAGGTGTTGTGCAGGTGCATACCCAAATGGCCAAATATTTATGAAATATTTATATTGGCTTGAAGATCCTCTAAATCACCATAGGGAAAAGTTGTATCAAAATAAATGGAAGTCAGTGTATGGCATTTCAGTTAAATAAAGTGTTTAAAGCACCAAAAAGAAAAAAGGTAGTGATTTATCCCAGATACTCAATTAAGAGTATTTTATATAGAACATATAAAGAATTAAAAAATTTCAGCCCCTCCAAATTCAAAGACCCAATCCAAAAATGGGCAGCTGAGATGAACACACATTTCTCAGACAAGGAGATACAAACGGCAAATAAATATATGAGAAAATGTTCAACATCATTAGTCATTCGAGAAATGCAAATTAAAACAACACTAAGATTCCACCTTACCCCAGTAAGAATGGCAAGCATTAAGAAATCAACCAATAACAAATGCTGGCGAGGCTGTGGAGAAATAGGAACCCTTCTCCACTGCTGGTGGGAATGCAGACTGGTGAAACCACTGTGGAAATCAGTTTGGAGATTCCTCCGAAAACTAGGTTTAGAGGTCCCATTCAACCCAGCTATACCCCTGCTGGGTATTTTCCCAGAAGATCTAAAAACATCATATCACAGTGATATATGTGCACCTATGTTCATAGCAGCACAATTTGTAATTGCTAAAATGTGGAAGCAACCCAAATGTCCATCCACCGAGGATTGGATAAGAAAATTATGGTACTTTTATATAATGGAATATTACTCAGCTGTAAAGAAAGATAAACTCGAGGCCTTTATATTTAAATGGTCACAACTAGAGACCATACTCATAAGTGAAATAAATCAAACATACATGTGCAAGCACCGCATTGTGTCACTAGTGTAAAACTTGAAAGAGTTAATTTAAACTCGGAGGTATGATAGACACTGTGAAATGATAGGAAACCACCGAAGAGTAAAGGGCTTCTGGGATGTGGGAAGAGAGAAGGGAAAGAAGGAGAAATTTTGTATGTATGTATATACAGGATAGATAACATGGTTGTTCTTCTATCTGCTGTTTCTATGCTGAAAGAAACTGTCAATGAGTCTTTGGTTGACCAGTATTGCATGTCTGTATCTGTTTTCATGAGAAGCCACTTTGAAGATATCAATATGTAATACAACCACCATTGTTAATTCCCTACCACTTTGTTTGTAACTCTGTATTGTCTGTATTGTGCTTGTGATATGTTGTAAAATGTTGTATGTCTGTTAATGTTTCCCTCCTTTTATCCTTAAAATAAAAAAAAAGTAAAGTTTAAAGAAATCAAAAAAAAAAGAGTATTTTATATACATTCTCCTTCAAATAGTCCAAGTCACTGAGCTTTTCTCAAAGTAAAGAAAACATGAAGATTCTATTTTACTTTCAACCTCAAACCTGTTGCAGTCTCGGCTGGATCCACCTTAGATTACACAGTGTGCAAATTTCTAACACAGAATAAGAACCTATACACTACTATTTGTTTTCTCAGGTGTAAGGCAGGAGACAGGGAAAAAGGAATGGCAAAAATCCATGCCTTACAGCTTACAGATGTACACCAAACCTTGAGGATGCTGGATATAAATCAGAAAAATTCACCGACTCCTTGGGAGGAACCTGGACAAAGTGCTAGAAGGAGACTGTAGGCCACTAAATAGCTTCCCTCTCCCTAATTCTATAAGATTGACTGACTGTGTTGAATAACCAGTCCACACAAGTTCACTGGTTTGCCTGAAATGATACTTTCTTTTCTATCTGAAATGTAATGAATTCTCAGAACTGCTCAAAGGTTTGAGTACGCTTCTCTCTTCCAAGTATTTTTAAAGGCCTCCTTAAAAAGTTTCTAA